GGCATATTCCTTAATTAAGGGGGTTTTGGAGTCTCTGGGTATCCCAGGACCCTGAACTTGATCCAGCACTGGCTCCTGCTCCTGTTCACACGGCCAAGTGCTGCTCCAGCCCTCATCTGACACATCAGGGCAAGTGGTAGCACCTTAGTTACTTCCAGGTTGGGGGTGGGAACGCCCAAAGGCTCCATGTACCCATATAGTATACACTTAGACCCTAAAGTACCTATATAGGAACCCCTTTAAGGCCAAAGTAGCTACCCAGAGACTCCAAAACCCCTTAATTAAGGAATATACCTTAAATCTTATTAGGGTCCCTATTATGATTTAAGGCATACTCCTGAATTAAGGGGTTTTGGAGTCTCTGGGTACATGGAGCCTTTGGGTTCTAGGTTGGGGGTGGGAACTTCGGAGCTCCAGAATCTACCCATAGGCCCCTAAGTAGTTCCTTTTTGGGAATACCTATAGTCTCCATTGTAGTTCCTTTTTTTGGTTTAACCAAATTTACATGAAGGATCCCAAAAGGTAACCCCAAAAAGGAACTACAACGGAGACTATAGGTGCCTTATAGGATTCTAAATATAATCCCAAGAAGGAACTACTTAGAGGCCTGTGGGTAACGGCATGATGGGAAAGAGTCGGGACAGTTAGGGTACAAGCAAAAGCTGCAAACATCCGGTCTGATCACAGAGAGCTGCGCAACGTCTATGCCTCATTCTACATCAAGATGATGTTTGCTGCACTGCACTACACGGCCGTCCCAGACACACGTCTATTCCGCAGTGAGTTCGTGATTCGTGGTTGTAAGAATTCAGAGTCCAGAGGAAAAAGTAAGAAAGAAATGCAAAGCCTGTGTGCGGCACAGTTGTCAAGCTGCGCCATCACGCTGCAGAGGTAGCGCATTTTCACCTCCACTGACGATGCCGGACACGTGGGCTTCCAATCTTTGGGCTGCCTTTTTCTGCTCGTATAGCAGCTCTTGTAGTTGCCCTTATGGAAATACCTAAAGTCTCCATTGTAGTTCCTTTTCGGGGTTACCTTTTAGGATGCTTCATATGGACATGGTTAAACCAAAAAAAGGAACTACAATGGAGACTGTAAGGTCTTGCAAGAGTTCTATCAGGAACTCACAGGCGTTTATGGCGGTTTCATGGTGGTTTCTATACGGCTTTAGAGGCGTTTTCTGAGGGCTATACGGGAAGGTCTCGTGGTTTATGAGGGTCTTATGTGGGGTTCATTCTGCAGGGCCGAGTTCTGGCCTGCAGGTTTATTGGTTTAGGGGTTTAGGGTTCAGGGTTTAGGGTTTAGGGTTCAGGGGTTTATGTTTTTTGAGGTTTAGGGCTCGGGGCTTAGAGAAGCTTTGTTGGCCT